ACAAAAGACCACAAAAAAAACCCAGAAACCCCCAAAACCCCAAAAACCCCCAAAAACCCCAAAAAATCCCCCAAAAACCCCAAAAAAACCCCCAAAAAAACCCCCAAAAAATCAAAATCCCCGGGAATTCTCCGGAAATTTCCGGAACCTACTGGAGCAAAGCTTTGGTTTTTCGGGCGGGATCATCCGGCCGGAAATTCTTGAACTCCTCCACCTCCTTCTCCAGCGAGAGCAGCTGGCTCTGGAGTTTGCTCCGCAGCGCCGGCAGCGTCTCCCGGATGTGGTTGGTGAGTTGCTGGCCGGAAAAAAAACCCAAAAAACCCCAGGGATTTGGGGCTGATCCGGGATAAAATTCCCGGTTTTTTTTCCCGTGGAATTTCGGGGATACCTGGTTGAGGACGCGCTGGAGGTGAGGGGTCCCCATGCGCTCGGCCATGTGGCGATAGGAGGGGTGCGAAAGGAAGAATTTGCGCTCGGCGGCCAGAGCGGCGCGGATGTCCTTGCGGCCGTCGATGTCCTTCTGGCTCCGGTTCACAACCCCAATATAACCTGGGAATGACAGGAAAAATCTGGGAATGACCCGGGAGTGACCTGGGAATGACCTGGGAATGACCTGGGAGTGACCCGGGAGTGACCTGGGAGTAACAATGGGAGTAACAATGGGAATAATGGGGGTGTCCTTGCGGCCGTCGATGTCCTTCTGGCTCCGGTTCACAACCCCGATATAACCTGGGAATAATGGGAAAAACAATGGGAATGACGGGAAAAATCTGGGAATGACAACGGGAATAACAGGAGTAACAATGGGAGTAACAATGGGAATAATGGGGATGTCCTTGCGGCCGTCGATGTCCTTCTGGCTCCGGTTAACAACCCCGATATAACCTGGGAATGACAGGAAAAATCTGGGAATGACAGGAAAAATCTGGGAATGACAACGGGAAAAATCTGGGAATGACAACAGGAATAACAGGAGTAACAATGGGAGTAACAATGGGAGTAACGATGGGAGTAATGGGGGTGTCCTTGCGGCCGTCGATGTCCTTCTGGCTCCGGTTAACAACCCCAATGTATCCTGGGAATGACGGGAAAAATCTGGGAATGACAGGAAAAACCTGGGAATAACCTGGGAATAACCTAGGAATGATGGGAGTAACAATGGGAGTAACAATGGGAGTAACAGTGGGAATAATGGGAGTAATGGGGATGTCCTTGCGGCCGTCGATGTCCTTCTGGCTCCTGTTCACCACCCCGATGTACCCTGGGAATAACGGGAAAAACAATGGGAATGACGGGAAAAATCTGGGAATAACCTGGGAAAAATCTCAGAATGACAACAGGAATAACAGGAGTAACAATGGGAGTAATGATGGGAGTAACGATGGGAGTAACGATGGGAGTAATGGGGATGGTGGGGATGTCCTTGCGGCCGTCGATGTCCTTCTGGCTCCGGTTCACCACCCCGATATAACCTGGGAATGACAGGAAAAATCTGGGATTGACAACGGGAAAAACCTGGGAATGACCTGGGAAAAATCTGGGAGTGATGGGAGTAACAATGGGAGTAACAATGGGAGTAACAATGGGAGTAACAATGGGAATAATGGGGATGTCCTTGTGGCCGTCGATGTCCTTCTGGCTCCGGTTAACAACCCCGATATAACCTGGGAATGACGGGAATGACAACGGGAATGGTGGGAATGGGAATAATGGAATAATGGGATAATGGGAATAATGGGATAATGGGAATAATGGGATAATGGGATAATGGGATAATGGGATAATGGGAAAACGGGAATAATGGGATAATAGAATAATGGGATAATGGGATAATGGGATAATGGGAATAATGGGATAATGGGATAATGGGAATAATGGGATAATGGGAATAATGGGATAATGGGAATAATGGGAATAATGGGAATAATGGGAATAATGGGATAATGGGATAATGGGAATAATGGGATAATGGGAATAATGGGAATAATGGGAATAATGGGATAATGGGAATAATGGAATAATGGGATAATGGAATAATGGGAATAATGGGATAATGGGATAACGGGAATAATGGGATAATGGGATAATGGGAATAATGGGAATAATGGGAATAATGGGATAATGGGATAATGGGATAATGGAATAATGGGAATAATGGGATAATGGGAATGGGATAATGGAATAATGGGAATAATGGAATAATGGAATAATGGGATAATGGGATAATGGGAATAATGGAATAATGGGATAATGGGAATAACGGGAATGGGGTGGGGGATATGGCGGGAGAGGATATGGGGGGATCTGAGGGGACACTGGGGGACACAGAGAATGACCTGGGGGTACACGGGGGTCCTGAGGGGACACAGAGTGGCCTGAGGGGACACAGGGGGGACACAGAATGACCTGAGGGGACACAGGGGGGACACGAAAGGACACAGAGGGACATGAGGGGACACAGAGTGACCTGAGGGGACACAGGGGGGGACAAAGGTGACACAGAGGTGACACAGGGAGGACACAGAGGGGACACCCAATGTCCCTGTCCCCACCTCTCCGCAGTGGCAGCAGTTTGTTCTCCAGCACGTCCCGAGCATCCGTCCCCTCGTCCATCAGATCCAGCTTGGTGATCACCCCGATGGTCCTCAGCCCTGGCCGACAATTAACAAATCACTAATTAATTAATCACTAATTAATTAACAAATCACCCCTAATTAACAAATCACCTGTTAAAAATCACCCCTAATTAATCCCAACAAATGAGAATGAGGAAGGCGGAAGAACCCCAAATCTATCAGGATTACCCTGTGGATCCACCTCCTTAACGAATCACCCCTAATTAACAAACCCCCAATTAATTAACAAATCCCTGCTCATTAATGCCTTACCCTGCGGATCCACCTCCTTAACAAATCACCAATTAACAAACCCCCAATTAATGACCAACCCCCAATTAATTAACCAATCCTCCATTAATGAATTATCCAGCGGATCCACCTCCTTAACAAACCCCCAATTAACAAATCACCCCTAATTAACCCCAAACGAGGAACAAGAGGATGAAGAATCCCAAACCCATTGGGATTCCCCTGCGGATCCACCTCCTTAACAAACCCCCAATTAATTATCAAGCCCCCAATTAATGACCACCCCCCAATTAATGACCACCCCCCAATTAATTAACCAACCCCCATGAATGAATTACCCTGCGGATCCACCTCCTTAACAAACCCCCAATTAATTACCACCCTCCAATTAATTCCCCAATCCCCCATTAATGAATTACCCTGCGGATCCACCTCCTTAACAAACCCCCAATTAATGACCACCCCCCAATTAATTACCACCCCCCAATTAATTAACGGATCCCCCATGAATGAATTACCCTGCGGATCCACCTCCTTAACAAACCCCCAATTAATGACCTAATTAACCCTAATTAACCCAAACCCGCTAATTAAGGAATTACCCTGCGGATCCACCTCCTTGGCCATTTTGAGTGCGTCGGAGTTGGCCAGGTCGGTGTTTGCGGGCGTCACGGCGAGGATGAGGCTGCTGTCGCGGGCGATGAACTGCAGGATCATGTCCCGGATCTGGGCCTCGATATCGGGGGGCTGATCCCCCACGGGCACCTTGGTGATCCCGGGCAGATCGATCAGCGTCAGGTTCAGCACTGCCGCAGCCAGGGAGAGCCATGGGGTTAGCGTGCCCGGGGAAATTCAGGGATTCATCCCGCTTTTCCCGCATTTTCACCGGATTTTTCACACTTTTCCTGGATTTTCCCCACACTTTTCTGGATTTTTCCCACTTCTTTCTGGATTTTTCCCACACTTTTCTGGATTTTTCCCACTTTTTTCTGGATTTTTCCCACTTTTTTTCTGGATTTTTCCCACTTTTCCTGGATTTTTCCCACTTTTTTCCCCTTTTTCCAGGATTTTTCTGGATTTTTTTCTGGATTTTTCCCACTTCTCCTGGATTTTTCCCCACACTTTTCTGGATTTTTCCCACTTTTCCTGGATTTTTCCCAATTTTTTCTGGATTTTTCCCAGTTTTTTCTGGATTTTTCCCACTTTTTTCTGGATTTTTCCCACATTTTCCTGGATTTTTCCCACTTTTTTCTGGATTTTTCCCACTTTTTTCTGGATTTTTCCCACTTTTTTCTGGATTTTTCCCACACTTTTCTGGATTTTTCCCACTTTTTTTCTGGATTTTTCCCACTTTTTTTCTGGATTTTTCCCAGTTTTTTCCTGGATTTTTCCCACATTTTTCTGGATTTTTCCCACTTTTTTCCCATTTTTCCCAGATTTTTCTGGATTTTTTCTGGATTTTTCCCACACTTTTCTGGATTTTCCCTACTTTTTCCTGGATTTTTCCCACTTTTCCTGGATTTTTCCCACTTTTTTCTGGATTTTTCCCACATTTTTCCCGTTTTTCCCAGATTTTTCTGGATTTTTTTCTGGATTTTTCCCACTTTTCCTGGATTTTTCCCACTTTTCCTGGATTTTTCCCACATTTTTCCCATTTTTTCCAGGATTTTTCTGGATTTTTTTTCTGGATTTTTCCCACTTTTTCTGGATTTTTCCCACATTTTTCTGGATTTTTCCCACTTTTTTCTGGATTTTTCCCACTTTTCCTGGATTTTTCCCACTTGTCCTGGATTTTTCCCACTTTTTCTGGATTTTTCCCACTTTTTTCTGGATTTTTCCCACTTCTTTCTGGATTTTTCCCACTTTTTCCTGGATTTTTCCCACTTTTTCCTGGATTTTTCCCACTTTTTTCTGGATTTTCCCCACTTTTCCTGGATTTTTCCCAATTTTTTCTGGATTTTTCCCACTTTTCCTGGATTTTTCCCACTTTTTTCTGGATTTTTCCCACGTTTTCCTGGATTTTTTCCCACATTTTTCCCATTTTTTCCAGGATTTTTCTGGATTTTTTTCTGGATTTTTCCCACTTTTTTTTTGATTTTTCCCACTTTTTCCTGGATTTTTCCCACTTTTTTCTGGATTTTTCCCACTTTTTTCTGGATTTTTCCCAGTTTTCCTGGATTTTCCCCACTTTTTTTTTGATTTTTCCCACTTTTTCCTGGATTTTTCCCACTTTTTTCTGGATTTTTCCCACTTTTTTCTGGATTTTTCCCACACTTTTCTGGATTTTTCCCACTTTTTTCTGGATTTTCCCCACTTTTTTCCCATTTTTCCCAGATTTTTCTGGATTTTTTTCTGGATTTTTCCCACATTTTTCTGGATTTTTCCCACTTTTTTCTGGATTTTTCCCACATTTTTCCCATTTTTTCCAGGATTTTTCTGGATTTTTCCCACTTTTTCTGGATTTTTCCCACTTTTTCCTGGATTTTTCCCACATTTTCCTGGATTTTTCCCACATTTTTCCCGTTTTTTCCAGGGTTTTTCTGGACTTTTTCCTGGATTTTTCCCAGTTTTTTCTGGATTTTCCCCACTTTTTCCTGGATTTTTCCCACTTTTTCCTGGATTTTTCCCAGTTTTCCTGGATTTTTCCCACTTTTTTCTGGATTTTCCCCACTTTTTTCTGGATTTTCCCCACTTTTTCCCCGTTTTTCCCAGAATTTTTCTGGATTTTTCCTGGATTTTTCCCACTTTTTCCTGGATTTTTCCCACGTTTTCCTGGATTTTTTCCCACCCCGTTTTTCCCAGAATTTTTCTGGATTTTTCCTGGATTTTTCCCACTTTTTCCTGGATTTTTCCCACGTTTTCCTGGATTTTTTCCCACATTTTCCCCATTTTTTCCAGGATTTTTCTGGACTTTTTCCAGGATTTTTCTGGATTTTTTTCTGGATTTTTCCCAATTTTTTCTGGATTTTTCCCACTTTTTTCCCGTTTTTCCCAGATTTTTCTGGACTTTTTCCTGGATTTTTCCCACTTTTCCTGGATGTTTCCCACTTTTTCCTGGATTTTTCCCACTTTTCCTGGATTTTTCCCACTTTTCCTGGATTTTTCCCACTTTTTTCTGGATTTTCCCCACTTTTTTCTGGATTTTTCCCACTTTTTTCTGGATTTTTCCCACTTTTTTCTGGATTTTTCCCACTTTTTTCCCGTTTTCCCCAGGATTTTTCTGGACTTTTTCCTGGATTTTTCCCACTTTTCCTGGATTTTTCCCACTTTTTTCTGGATTTTTCCCACTTCTTTCTGGATTTTTCCCACTTCTTTCTGGATTTTTCCCACTTTTTCCTGGATTTTCCCCACATTTTCCTGGATTTTCCCCACATTTTTCTGGATTTTCCCCACTTTTTTCTGGATTTTTCCCACTTTTTTCTGGATTTTTCCCACGTTTTCCTAGATTTTTCCCACATTTTTCCCATTTTTTCCAGGATTTTTCTGGACTTTTTCCTGGATTTTTCCCACATTTTTCTGGATTTTTCCCACATTTTTCTGGATTTTTCCCACTTTTCCTGGATTTTTCCCACTTTTCCTGGATTTTCCCCACATTTTTCCCGTTTTTCCCAGAATTTTTCTGGATTTTTCCTGGATTTTTCCCACGTTTTTCTGGATTTTTCCCACATTTTTCCCGTTTTTTCCAGGATTTTTCTGGATTTTTTTCTGGATTTTTCCCACATTTTTCCCATTTTTCCCAGAATTTTTCTGGATTTTTCCCACACTTTTCCCATTTTTTTCTGGATTTTTCCCACTTTTTTCTGGATTTTTCCCACTTTTTTCTGGATTTTCCCCACTTTTTTCCCGTTTTTTCCAGGATTTTTCTGGATTTTTTTCTGGATTTTTCCCACATTTTTCTGGATTTTTCCCAGTTTTTCTGGATTTTCCCCACATTTTCCCCATTTTTTCCAGGATTTTTCTGGATTTTTTTCTGGATTTTTCCCACTTTTTCACCGGATTTTTCCCACTTTTCCTGGATTTTTCCCACTTTTTTCCCGTTTTTCCCAGATTTTTCTGGATTTTTCCCACTTTTTCCTGGATTTTTCCCACTTTTTCCTGGATTTTTCCCACGTTTTCCTGGATTTTCCCCCCATTTTTCCCATTTCTTCCAGGATTTTCTGGATTTTTTTCTTGATTTTTCCCACTTTTTTCTGGATTTTCCCCACATTTTTCCCGTTTTTTCCAGGATTTTTCTGGATTCTTTTCTGGATTTTTCCCACATTTTTCTGGATTCTTCCCACTTCTTTCTGGATTTTTCCCAGTTTTTACTGGATTTTTCCCACTTTTCCTGGATTTTTCCCACTTTTTTCCCGTTTTTCCCAGATTTTTCTGGATTTTTTTCTGGATTTTCCCCACTTTTCCTGGATTTTCCCCACTTTTTTCTGGATTTTTCCCAGTTTTTCTGGATTTTCCCCACTTTTTCCCCGTTTTTCCCAGGATCTTTCCGGATTTTTTTCTGGATTTTTCCCACTTTTCCTGGATTTTTCCCAAATTTTCCTGGATTTTTCCCACATTTTCCTGGATTTTTTCCCACATTTTTCCCATTTTTTCCAGGATTTTTCTGGACTTTTTCCTGGATTTTTCCCACACTTTTCTGGATTTTTCCCACTTCTTTCTGGATTTTTCCCACTTTTTTTCTGGATTTTCCCAGTTTTCCTGGATTTTTCCCACTTTTTCCTGGATTTTTCCCACTTTTCCTGGATTTTCCCACTTTTTTCCCGTTTTTCCCAGATTTTTCTGGATTTTTCCTGGATTTTTCCCACTTTTCCTGGATTTTTCCCACTTTTTCCTGGATTTTTCCCACTTTTCCCCCGTTTTTCCCAGATTTTTCTGGATTTTTTTCTGGATTTTTCCCACTTTTCCTGGATTTTTCCCACTTTTTTCTGGATTTTTCCCAGATTTTCCCCATATTTTTCTGGATTTTTTCTGGATTTTCCCCATTTCTCCCCCATATTTTTCTGGATTTTTCCCAGATTCTTCCCATTTTTCCCCATATTTTTCTGGATTTTTCCCACATTTTTCCCATTTCCCCCCATATTTTTCTGAATTTTTTTCTGGATTTTTTCCCATTTTTTCCCGTTTTTTCCCAGACTTTTCCCATTTTTTCCCGTATTTTTCTGAATTTTTTTCTGGATTTTCCCCATTTCTTTCCCCAAATTTTTCTGGATTTTTTTCTGGATTTTTCCCACATTTTCCCTGTTTTTTCCCGGGATTTTCCCCATTTTTTCCCGCATTTTTCTGGATTTTTTCTGGATTTTTCCCACTTTTTTCCCGGATTTTTCCCACTTTTTTCCCGGATTTTCCCGGTATTTTCCCATATTTTTCCCGTATTTTTCCAGGATTTTTCCAGGATTTTTCCCATATTTTTCCCGTATTTTTCCCATATTTTTCCCGTGTTTTTCCCATATTCTTCCAGGACTTTTCCCAGTATTTTCCCATATTTTTCCCGTTATTTTCCCATATTTTTCCAGGACTTTTCCCAGTATTTTCCCAGGACTTTTCCCATATTTTTCCAGGACTTTTCCCGGTATTTTCCCGTATTTTTCCCATATTTTTCCGGGATTTTTCCCGTATTTTTCCCAGTATTTCCCCAGTATTTTCCCATATTTTTCCAGGACTTTTCCCGGTATTTTCCCGGTATTTTCCCATATTTTTTCCATTATTTTCCCCTCACCGTGAGGGGAGTACACCCGTATTTTTCCCATATTTTTCCCAGTATTTTCCCATATTTTTCCAGGACATTTTTCCAGTATTTTCCCAAAATTTTCCCATATTTTTCCCATATTTTTCCCATTATTTTCCCGGTATTTTCCCGTTCTTTTCCCGTTTTCCCCTCACCGTGGGGGGAGTACACCTGTATTTTCCTGTATTTTTCCCAGTATTTTCCCATATTTTTCCAGGACTTTTCCCATATTTTTCCCGTATTTTTCCCAGTATTTTTCCCAGTATTTTCCCGTATTTTTCCAGGATTTTTCCCAGTATTTTCCTGGTATTTTCCTGTATTTTTCTGGGATTTTTCCTGTATTTTTCCCATATTTTTCCAGGACTTTTCCCGGTATTTTCCCGTATTTTTCCCATATTTTTCCCGTTATTTTCCCGGTTTTTTCCCCTTACCTTGGGGGGAGTGCACCCGTATTTTTCCCATATTTTTCCCGTATTTTTCCCATATTTTTCCGGGATTTTTCCCATATTTTTCCCAGTATTTCCCCAGTATTTTCCCATATTCTTCCAGGACTTTTCCCAATATTTTCCCGTATTTTTCCCATATTTTCCTGGTATTTTCCCATATTTTTCCTGGTATTTTCCCATATTTTTCCAGGACTTTTCCCATATTTTTCCCATAGTTTTCCCATATTTTTCCCATATTTTTCCCATACTTTTCCCGTATTTTTCCCATATTTTTCCCGTATTTTTCCCATATTTTTCCCATATTTTTCCCATATTTTCCTGGTATTTTCCCATATTTTTCCCGGTATTTTCCCATATTTTTCCAGGACTTTTCCCGTATTTTTCCCATATTTTTCCCGTATTTTTCCCATATTTTTCCTGTATTTTTCCCATACTTTTCCCATATTTTTCCCGTATTTTTCCCGTATTTTTCCCATATTTTTCCCGTATTTTTCCCGTATTTTTCCCATATTTTTCCCGGACTTTTCCCAATATTTTCCCATATTTTTCCCGGACTTTTCCCATTATTTTCCCGTTTTTTTCCCGTTCTTTTCCCGATTTCCCCTCACCGTGGGGGGAGTACACGCGCAGGTTGATGGGGACGGGGGAAATCCCTTTGTTGGTGCCGGTGACGCGCTCGGTCTCGGCCTCGATCTCCTGCCGCACCTCGTCGAAATCCGTGAATTTCCTGGACTTGCAGTGCAGGAATTCCGCGTATTCTGGGGGAAAAAAATGGGAAAAGTGGGGAAAAAAAGCGGGAAAATCCCCGGAATTCTCCGGAAAATCCCTCTGGGGGGGTTGAATCTCCTTCCGAAGGAACCTCCGGAATTATCCTGGAATTATCCCAGAATTACCCCGGTATTACCCCGGAATTATCCCAGAATTACCCCGGAATTATCCCAGAATTACCCCGGAATTATCCGGAATTACCCCAGAATTACCCCGGATTTATCCCGGAATTACCCTGGAATTACCCCGGAATTATCCGGAATTACCCCGGAATTACCCCGGAATTACCCCAGAATTACCCCGGATTTATCCCGGAATTATCCCGGATTTATCCCGGAATTATCCCGGAATTACCCTGGATTTATCCCGGAATTACCCCGGAATTATCCCAGAATTATCCCGGAATTACCCCGGAATTACCCCGGAATTACCCTGGATTTATCCCGGAATTACCCCGGATTTATCCCGGAATTACCCCGGAATTACCCGGGAATTACCCCGGAATTATCCCAGAATTACCCCGGAATTATCCCGGGTTTATTTTTGGTTTTCCTTGGTTTTCCTTGGATTTCCTGGGAATTCCTTGGAATTATTTCCTTGGATTTCTCTGGAATTCCTTGGTTTTCCTTGGATTTCCTTGGATTTCCCAGGAATTCCTTGGAATTCCTTGGAATGCCTCAGCATTCCTTGGATTTCCTTGGAATTCTTTGGTTTTCCCTGGAATTCCTTGGATTTCCTCAGAATTCCTTGGATTTCCTTGGAATTCCTCAGCATTCCTTGGTTTTCCTCAGATTTCCTGGGAATTCCTCAGCATTCCTTGGATTTCCTTGGAATTCTTTGGTTTTCCTTGGATTTCCTTAAAATTCCTTGGTTTTCCTCAGAATTCCTTGGTTTTTCCTTGGAATTCCTTGAATTTCTTTGGCATTCCCTGGATTTCCTCAGAACTTCCTTGGTTTTTCCTTGGAATTCCTTGAATTTCTTTGGCATTCCCTGGATTTCCTCAGAACTCCTTGGAATTCCCTGAATTCCCTTGGAATTCCTTGGTTTTCCTCAGAATTCTTTGGAAATTCTTGGATTCCCTTGGAATTCCTTGGATTTCCTCAGCATTCCTGGGATTTTTCTTGGATTTCCTTGGAATTCCTTTGACATTCCTTGGATTTCCTTGGAATTCCTTGGATTTCCTCGGAAATCCTTGATTTTCCTCGGAATTCCTTGGAATTCCTTGGTTTTCCTTGGAATTCCTCGGCATTCCTTGATCTTCCTCATCATTCCTTGGAATTCCTTGGTTTTCCATAGCATTCCTTGAGTTTTTCTTGGATTTCCTTGGATTGTCCTGGAATTCCTTGGAATTCCTTGGTTTTTCCTTGGAATTCCTTGGATTTCCTTGGAATTCCTTGGATTTCCTTGGTTTTCCTCAGCATTCCTTGGAATTCCTTGGATTTCCTTGGAATTCCTTGGATTTTCCTTGGTTTTCCCTGGAATTCCTTGGATTTTCCTTGGTTTTCCTTGGAATTCCTTGGAATTCCTTGGTTTTCCTTGGAATTCCTTGGAATTCCTTTGACATTCCTTGGATTTCCTTGGAATTCCTTGGATTTCCTTGGAATTCCTTTGACATTCCTTGGATTTCCTTGGATTTCCTCAGCATTCCTTGGATTTCCTTGGTTTTCCCTGGAATTCCTCGTCATTCCTCGGTTTTCCTCGCCATTCCTCGATTTCCCCCAGCATTCCCCGACTTCTCCCCCTCGCTTTCCCCACCCTGAGCTCGGGGAAATCCGGGAATTGCGGCATTTTCCCGATCCCATTCCCGCTTTTCCGGCCCCGTACCCGTCTTGGAGAAGATGAGCTGCAGGATGAGCGGCCGGCGCGTGACGATCCCGGAGCCGCGGGGCAGGAAATCCCTGGAAAAGACGGAAAAGAGGGAAAAGACGGATCAATTCCTTCATTAATTAAAGTTTGGGATCGATCCCGGAAATCAGAACATTCCAGAAAATCGGGAATTCCCAGGGAATTCAGAATCTGGGAGGATTTTCCCTGGAAAAATGAGAAATTTGGGATCCCTGCGGCTTTTCCTGAGCCCGGATCAGTGGGAATGAACCGGGAATGGTTTGGGAATGAACCGGGAATGGTTTGGGATCAATCCCAGAAATCAGAACATTCCAGAAAATCGGGAATTCCCAAAATTCCCACAGAATTCAGAACCTGGGGAGGATTTTCCCTGGAAAAATGAGAAATTTGGGATCCCTGCGGCTTTTCCTGAGCCCGGATCAGCGGGAATGAACCGGGAATGGTTTGGGAATGGTTTGGGATCAATCCCTGGGATCAGAACATTCCAGAAAATCGGGAATTCCCACAGAATTCAGAACCTGGGGAGGATTTTTCCTGGAAAAATGAGAAATTTGGGATCCCTGCGGCTTTTCCCGAGCCCGGATCAGCGGGAACGAGGCCGGGAAAGGTTTGGGAATGGTTTGGGAATGGTTTGGGATCAATCCCAGAAATCAGAACATTCCAGAAAATCGGGAATTCCCAAAATTCCCACAGAATTCAGAACCTGGGGAGGATTTTCCCTGGAAAAATGAGAAATTTGGGATCCCTGCGGCTTTTCCCGAGCCCGGATCAGCGGGAATGAACCGGGAATGGTTTGGGAATGGTTTGGGAATGGGTTGGGAATGGTTTGGGAATGAACCGGGAATGGGTTGGGAATGGTTTGGGAATGGGTTTGGGAATGGGTTGGGAATGGGTTGGGAATGGGTTGGGAATGGGTTGGGAATGGTTTGGGAATGGTTTGGGAATGGGTTGGGAATGGGTTGGGAATGGGTTGGGAATGAACCGGGAATGGTTTGGGAATGGTTTGGGAATGGGTTGGGAATGGTTTGGGAATGGGTTGGGAATGGTTTGGGAATGGGGAATTCCGTGGGAGCGGCCGCGGATGCCGGAACCGCCCCGGACGTCCCGGCGTTCCCGGCATTCCCGGCATTCCCAGCATTCCCAGCATTCCCGGCATTCCCGGCATTCCCGGCATTCCCGGCGTCATTCCAAGGAAAACAATTCCTGCCCAACCGGGAGGACGAGTCCGGCGGGAAGGGCCCAACCCCGGGCTGGGAAAAGCTGGAATAAAGCTCAGGGAGGGCGGAATTCCCTGATCCCACGGGAATTCCCGGGGGGATTCCTGGGAATTGGGATTCCTGGGAATTGGGGCCCATGGGATCGGCTGTTCCCTGATCCCAGGAATATTCCCATAAATCTGGGATCAATGGGATCGGCTGTTCCCTGATCCCTGTGGGAATATTCCCATAAATTTGGGATCCATGGGATCGGCTGTTCCCTGATCCTGGTGGGAATTCCCAGGAATATTCCCATAAATTTGGGATCAATGGGATCGGCTGTTCCCTGATCCCAGCCCTGATTCCCGGGGGGATTCCCATGAATTGGGATCGGCTGTTCCCTGATCCCACGGGAATTCCCAGGGGGATTCCTGGGAATTGGGATCGGCTGTTCCCTGATCCCACGGGAATTCCCGGGGGGATTCCTGGGAATTGGGTCCAGTGGGATCGGCTGTTCCCTGATCCTGGTGGGAATTCCCAGGGGGATTCCTGGGAATTGGGATTCAGTGGGATTGGCTGTTCCCTGATCCCACGGGAATTCCCGGGGGGATTCCTGGGAATTGGGTCCAGTGGGATCGGCTGTTCCCTGATCCCACGGGAATTCCCGGGGGGATTCCTGGGAATTTCGATCCAGTGGGATCGGCTGTTCCCTGATCCCACGGGAATTCCCGGGGGGATTCCTGGGAATTGGGATTCCAGGGAATTGGGATCGGCTGTTCCCTGATCTCAGTGGGAATTCCCGGGGGGATTCCTGGGAATTGGGATCGGCTGTTCCCTGATCCTGGTGGGAATTCCCAGGAATATTCCCATAAATTTGGGATCAATGGGATCGGCTGTTCCCTGATCCCAGCCCTGATCCCACAGGAATGTTGATCCCAGGAATATTCCCATAAATCTGGGATCAGTGGGATCGGCTGTTCCCTGATCCCAGGAATATTCCCATAAATCTGGGATCGATGGGATCGGCTCTTCCCTGATCCCTGTGGGAATTCCCAGGAATATTCCCATAAATCTGGGATCCATGGGATCGGCTCTTCCCTGATCCCAGGAATATTCCCATAAATCTGGGTTCAGTGGGATCGGCTGTTCCCTGATCCCAGGGAGATTCCCATAAATTGGGGTCCATGGGATCGGCTGTTCCCTGATCCCGGTGGGAATTCCCAGGAATATTCCCATAAATTTGGGATCAATGGGATCGGCTGTTCCCTGATCCCAGGGATATTCCCATAAATCTGGGATCAATGGGATCGGCTGTTCCCTGATCCCAGGGAGATTCCCATAAATCTGGGATCAATGGGATCGGCTGTTCCCTGATCCCAGGGAGATTCCCATAAATCTGGGATCAATGGGATCGGCTCTTCCCTGATCACACAGGAATGTCAATCCCAGGAATATTCCCATAAATTGGGGTCCATGGGATCGGCTCTTCCCTGATCCCACGGGAATTCCCAGGGGGATTCCAGGGAATTGGGATCGGCTGTTCCCTGATCCCACGGGAATTCCCGGGGGGATTCCTGGGAATTGGGTCCAGTGGGATCGGCTGTTCCCTGATCCTGGTGGGAATTCCCAGGGGGATTCCTGGGAATTGGGATTCAGTGGGATCGGCTGTTCCCTGATCCCACGGGAATTCCCGGGGGGATTCCTGGGAATTGGGATTGGCTGTTCCCTGATCCCACGGGAATTCCCAGGGGGATTCCTGGGAATTGGGATCGGCTGTTCCCTGATCCCACGGGAATTCCCGGGGGGATTCCTGGGAATTGGGATTCCTGGGAATTGGGGCCCATGGGATCGGCTGTTCCCTGATCCCAGGAATATTCCCATAAATCTGGGATCGATGGGATCGGCTGTTCCCTGATCCCAGTGGGAATATTCCCATAAATCTGGGATCCATGGGATCAGCTCTTCCCTTCCCCCATCCC